GTAAATGGAAAATTTATTATGTTGGAATGAGGCGGTGTTACCCGCAATTCGAACACTTTGAATTATTCGTTTATATTAGTTTCTTTTCAAAGGTTGGTAATGATCGTATGAAAGTCTAATTTGTTATTCCTGATAGAGTAGAGAGACAAACCATTTATTCGTATTAAGCAGTCATCTGTTAGTTTAGGATGATATTGGAATTTAAAAAGGATTTAATTTTATTATTAACCGTTCTTGAACTCTTAAAGAACGTATTACGTATTAATATCCAATTTGAAATAAATGTTAAACGCGGTTCCAATATTTTATTCCAATCTATGGAGAAGAATGCGAATGAAAATTTATACGATCTGTAAAAATTTAATACAGGGAAAGAAATTTTAGAACAAACCTTTAACCCTACCTACCGATCATAAAGAAAGTTGCATCCTCATTGAATTACCTCACCTTCAGAGACCTTCCCTAAACAACGAACGGAGGCTATTCGCATGACCGTACACCTTCGAAACGTAAATTCCTCCTAATGCGTCTACCAATTTTGTTCTCGGCCATCATCAAGCGGTTCATCGTATTACAAACACAGTCCCTCTCTCGAGGCGCCCTGAAATGGAGGCAAATTTATCACAATTATGTCATTTTATCGTAAACGGTCTTTACGGCTAGATCCTGGCAATATACGGTGCTCATGAATCGGATGGAAACGTTGAATCAGCGTTTACTAGTTTTTCTCACGATCCCACGATAGACCTTGCTCGAAGGCAAGAATAACGCTACGCGGGGATCGAAAGAAGTCAGGAATCCCGTAATCCGCGGCATCTTTGCCGGCGAAAGGCCGGGGGTGGTGTTATTCCTGGCGCTGGCCGTGGCGTGGATTCGAGATACGAGCCCCAGGTAGCCGAAACGAAAACGCATCGAGGTGTGTATCCCTAAGTAACCTGCTCGAACCGATCGAGCAACATTAATTGGCCGCTCAAGGCCTTCTTCCCTCGAACGATGTTACCCGGCAAGTGTGTGTGTGGGATAAAAGCAGGTGCAAACGAGCAAAAAAAGATCGGACTGGTAAGAGTAAAAAAAAGGAATTGGCTCGATCGGAGAGGAATTACATAAGCGGAACAGGAAGGTCGGGACTCGAACTCTTGATGGCACAATTTCTTTTCGAGAAACTCTATGTTTTAACGCTTCCTGGAAATTCTACTTAAATCGTTGTATCTTTGCATACAGAGTTTTACGATCTTTCATGATATTACATTTTATATATTTACTCGATCGAACTCTTTTTATTAATTCCTTTCGATAATAGAAAAGATGCAGAATAGTTGTGTATTTTAAGTTACGATGCTTATGTTACGAAAGTATAAAAATATCTTTAAATCTATCTTTAAAATTTGTTTACCAAATGATTTTTACAAGCATAAGAAACTATAGATATTTTTTAGACACTCTAAACAAGAATATTTTAAAAAAAACAAGCTAAAACACGACAGCCACGTTACACGAAATCAATAGACAAGATCATCATTCAAATTAAACGATAAAATATTCTAAGAAACATAAAACATATACATAACAACTAATAATGATAGAAAACATTCAAACTTGAAGAAAAATATTTCAAAAATAAATAATTTGCACAATTACAAGAAACTCATTTTACAAATAAATCGATCCCAATCAAACATAACCAAACAATCCATTACGCGACCACTCGAAGCAATCAATCACCACCTCGCCCAGCTGGCCTGCGGCCATCGTTTTTCATTGTATGAAAAATACCCGACTTTCCCTCCCTCCTCTCTCTCTCTCTTTCTCTCTCTCTCTCTCCTTCTCTCTCTCTCCCAACACAGTCCCCGGAACGCACGCTTCCGCGAGGTTGCGAAACACAGCCGCGCGGACTTTCCTGGCCTGTGGCCGACGTGGAAGTTCCACGAAGCCAGCACCCGTAGCCAGAAAGACAAAAGGTGCGGTTGCGTCGAGGGCGAGCCGCACGCATGTCAATGCACCGGCAATTAAACCATGTTTGGCGCTCGCGCCGACTCGTTTTGTTCGCCGACGTCTCGCGAGTAACCGCTCCTCGCCGCCTGTCGACCTCACAACGGGAAAGTACTCGCAGAAGCGCCGCGCTGATTTATTTCCGCTTGAAACCGCCGCGTCTCCCTCTTTTTTTTTTTTTTTTTTTTCGCCGAGATTTGTACCTACGTACTACGGGTACGTGTCGTCGAGAAAACCGATGATAAACTGGGGCAGCTTTTTGCGGCGGAGAGGAGCGGAGAGGAAAGTCTCTCTCCTCTCCGAGTGAACCTTTTACGTATGATCCGCTTGTGTACGGTGCTCGAGGGGGAGAGTGACTTTTCCCCGGGAGTGGGAAAGAAATTTTTATCCGGGGATGTGTCACGGATGCTCGCTGGATTCTGTCGCGATTAAACGGCGATTTATCAGCTACAGATTCGTGACAGTGATGAATGCCGATTCAGGAGGAGCTGGAAACCGGGTCACGATCCGACCGCGGCAGGTGACTACTATACTCCGAGCCTAACCGAGAGCAGTGGTACGGTGATCTACAGTGGGATAGTTATTGTGCAACTATATGGGTCGTGTGATGATTTTGTGGTTTCTTTTTTCGAAATAGCTGTTGAGGTATATATGTTGCTGTAAAGGATCGAACGTTGGAAAATTTATCCAAAAAAATTAGTTCTAAGTTATGAATATGAAATCAATATTTATTTTGTACTTTTATCGAAATTGAATTGAATTGAATTGCGATAAACAAACGTGAAATTTTGTGTAAAAATATTTGTATCTATCCATAGAGAGTTTGCGAATCTTTCGGTTATATAATCTGAATTGCAATTAATTTTGAATATTTGAAACTTGAGTTTTTATTAATATTAGATAAATGTATTCTTGCATTAATAATTTTCTACGCATGTTGCCTATAAATTTTAAAAATAAAATTTAATAAAGTGATAAATTCTAAATTTATATGTCAAAATTATACATCACATTGTCTGATTATCATCTTCACGTTTTTGTGATACATATCTCACCGATGAAAATATTAAATAACGATTACTGGTCGGAGAACCATCGATGTAATTACACTGAAAAATATATTACGATTACGTTTTACTCCATTTGCCACAAAATATCGTCCCGATACTTTATGAACAGCTTGAAACTACCGGCTCGTTCGAGCCAAAATTCCAATTCACCTCCTGACCAGCTGGCAGGTGAACGAGTTTCAGGTGCCTCCAGATGCTCCAATAAATTCTTTCACCCTCGGTCACGGTACATCGTGGTTAAAGGTCGAATGAACTTCGTTACATTGAAAAAACTTTCTTGGGGTTAACGAACTCTCGTAGAGAAAATCCGATATTTCCTTTGTTAGGACACATTGATATTGTAAATGCAAAACTTTCGTGGAGAATTTTATTATAATTAGATCAACTAAAAAAGTTAATCGAAAAAAGTGATCGATCCAGATCAACTCAGTTACTCGATATTGAATTTATATCTTAAGAAACATGGCTCAAAAGCGAGAGTTTAATTCATTTCATCGAGCAATAAAATTTTTTTACTCTCGAATTAGTTGATATTCACAATCCTCTGTACGCAATTTTAAACATATAAGAGTGTAAATTCCAAACGATTCATACGATTAAACGTCCCATTTACATTCTTCCAAGTTCATTAATTATCCGTCCAATTAACCATCCATGTTCCCTTCACGCTCACCAATCGAGCGAAACACGCATTCACGCAAAGAAATCTCTTATATGCCACGAGCTGACAACTGGTTCGAGCGATAAAGAGGCGCAGGAAGGGTGTGGATATCGCGCATAGGATCGATGATTTTTATTTCCACTACGATATGAATCGTGACGGGTGCCAACTTCCCGATTTATTCGCTAATTATTCGCTAATTAATTCGTTGTACGGGACTTGACAACAGGATCGTCGCAATTTGTATCGCTTATTTTTTCGCGTCACGATGTTGGGTATCATTTACTCTTCGACAGGGGATTATCGTGCGCAATGCGATCGGTTTTTCTGCGTGGCGAGATACGCGGCTTCGTAATTAGAGGCTCTCGATGCGTATTAAGCGCAGAGCAAGTGTGGTGGTTAACAAGCCGGCCAGCATCGTATATTACGTTAGACAAACCTTGTTTACCAACGATCTTCTCGATAGGATTTTATCGATTGATAACTGGCTGCGCAATATATCTTGGGAATTATTTATAAACTGTCATAATAGATAAGTTTATTTGCGAAAGAAAGATGGAATTGATGATGAATTTGTGATTTATCGAATCTTTTGTATATAGTTGGAGAATTTTATCGCGAGGATAAAAGATTTAGAAGTAATTAATTGTACTTACAAAAGTATTCATATATGAAATTTTATAATGAAAATTCACTTAAAATTTTGATTTTAATTTGGATTTTCGTGCAATAAGAAAGTCGCAATTAAAAAAGAAAGAAAAAAGAAACTGGATATTCTAATATAAATATTATCCAACGGAATCAATCCTGGTAACACAATTTGTTAAATAAACTCTCATAAAATATAAATAAAGTCTTTTCAATCCTACTTTCTCTCCACTTCTCTATGAAAATATTTAAGTTCCGAGATTACATTTTATATCATCCTACTTGAATTTTACCTTTTTAATCTCAAATATCCGTGAAAACTAGCACAGCCAATTCGATATACACGTTTCAACAGAGACAAATGAATCTCACACATATATATATACACTCACAAATTCACAATTTCCTAGACTAAATCAAAAAGGGAAAAAATTCGTACAAAACCATCGAAGCATTCGCTTCCATTCCTCCTCGACGAAACACCCAACAACCGTAAAAAACATCATGTACGACAATTGCCGCGCGTGTACACGTTTTCCCATGGCGACGTAGGAGCCCATGGTAGGTGTCCCACGGGAATTGGACTCGAAAGCCTCGTAACACACGAAGCTCGTAACCGCTAGCTTGCATTATCAGCGCCGGCGGGCTCGCTCGCTCGCTCGCTCGCCCGCTCGTTTTCCGTGTTCCCAACGCTCACTCGCCTCGCTCGGCGTCCCTCTCATCTTCGGCCCTCTAATCGCGTATTCTGGCGCGGCCTTTCTCACACGGTTCTCCGCGCGGCGTGCACACAACGCGTCCACGCCGATTCGTTCTACGC